TTTTTTTTTACCTTCCCGGTCCTAAGAGAATGACGCTAAATTATATCAAATTCGGTATYAGAATACATCATTTAGACGACGAGCCGGGGCTTTAGAGTGCATGGATTAACTTCAAATTATGCAATACTAAATATATTTACGAAAGTGCATCATAGGAATTTACAACAATTTATTTACACTAAGAATGCTAACAACTTACTCATAAGTGCCTCTGAAGTCACAATACTGCGTATGATGCTCTTGAATTTCACGCGATGCTGGTTCTTGGAACTTTGAAAATAAAACAACAAAACAAAACAAAAAACAACAAAAAAAGTCAACAAAAAGCGGAAACCATTTAGAGAAAGCAGCACACAAAAAACTCTAAAAAAGAGATGCACCTTTCTCTCTGTGAAAAGCAACTCTGTCACAGAGATAATACACTAATGAATTAAACATCAGTGGTTTTGACATCCGATATCAAACTAGACGCTCTTGGAGCGTGAAGTCGGAATAGCTATTTTTGAATGTATAGTCTGTATATTATGGCGTAGAATATAAATAGTTTAAAAAAGATGCCTATAAAATAATCGAAGTCGCCTTTTTGTTATTGACAAACAAAGTTTCTTCTTGTTCTAATTTGAAATCTTTGCCCAAACAAGACTGCCTAGCGCTAGAATTCAGTTCTGTAAGCATACTAATCCAAGCTCCATGCGATCCGCACATGCGCGTACTTCTGATGGCTAGACTGATGCATTCCGATGAGATCACAGATACCACATTTGTAAACGAATAGTTTTTTTATCACATAAAAGCGCAAGTAGAATCTGACATTTACAAAAGATATATTCGTACATCTATACGTTTGAGCTTCCGGTCATGTAATAACACAGCCAACCCAATAGTTAATTATTAAATTCTTAACTTCCGGTGGTCCAAACGCGACAAGGTAGGTAGGTAGGTAGGTAGGTAGGTAGGTAGGTAGGTAGGTAGGTAGGTAGGTACAATATACTTTATTAACATGAGCTGATTGATTACAGGTATTGTCAAAGTTTACAATTTTCGGGTAATTAATTTAAATTTACTTGATTTAAATGTTGCAAAAATTACAATCAATTCTTTTTTTTTTCTTTTTTTCTAAACATAACTGAAACAATATAGAGCCGTAGCCATATGTTTTGAGAAAGGTTGCCCTTAGTCCAAAAACATTTTAATAAATTTGGAAACGTAGAATATATAGTTAACGTTTCATGATAGGTATATGAATATAAATTTGATAGGAATATCTAGTGGATTATACTTCAGAAAGTTTTTCTTTTCTATAGCTGAAACATTTTGACAGAAATTTTGATAAGTAGAAAATTACATTATCATCTGTGGATTTCATTAATTTGGTTATATAATTTGCGGAAAAATCGATTTTGTCATTTAGCTTAGACTGAAATTCTGAATACCTCATGAATAATTAATGAGTTTTTGTATTGTGAAATCAGTAAGGTCTTTTCAGAGCAATAGAATGTGTTGTCAAATAAAATAAAGGTTATTCGATTTCAATCTGAATTATTCTTACCTTTGGTTTTAAAATATCATACATCAGTTTATTTTCACTTGTACCAAGATTAATAATGCCCTATAAACAATCAAAAATATAACGTATTAAAATCGCAATCGGGTCCAATTCGGTCACACATAACCGTAACCAGGATTTCATTACAGTTGTGTTAAAAGC